CAGGGAACAGGGATATTAAGTGGCTCCGATAGGATTGGCCACCAAAACATGAGGTGACTGGGTGGAGCCTGAACTATAGAAAAAGACTACGCAGGTGCACGTCCCACTACTCTGAGGAGATTCAGAGTTGCACACCCTCCCACCCATTGAGAGTTTCATCACAGCATTACTGGCGGTTTTACCTTGCCAGAAGTTGATATTGCTGTAACGGGCTATGTCCATAAGTTTAATTAAGGGGCCGGTTTAATGCCTGTCTGGAACTGATGGTGAAGACAGGCCTCTTAGACTATCTGTGTTGTTGTTATGGATGCTCACGTTATAACCGTGACTGGCATTGTTATAAGGTTTCTTTGAATGTTGTTACATTTTGGAGAGTTCAATAAAGGTGTGGCCTTGCCCTAGTTGCAACTTAATCAGTCTCCGTGTCTTTTTGGGGGACAAGGTTTTATGTTACGTTAGTGGTCAAAACGCACCTGGGCTTCTCAGCAGTCATGCATATAATCCAGAGAAATAACTAAGCTTCTGAACCACGTGTGTAGGCAATAGAATTGTTAGCGTTATGTCACTCAAGGGATTCCTCTATATGTTAAGCAGGAAAACCAAAAACATTGCAAACAGAAATAGGTGAGAAACCTTTCAGAAAGGGTAACTCAAATTTCTACCGGAACTGTTTAAAGGATATGTACTCCTTTGGGAACGTTACATGTTTTCCACCCGTTTTTAGGGTGGAACATGTAACATGTTCCCATAGCCGCAGCCGCCTCCCCCCTCCCTCTGACAGATAGTATGGGGAGACTTCTCCGCGTACTGTCAAATTTGAAATCAGTGCAGCCGTGTAAGGCTCCACCCACATGGCTGCATAATTAATTCACAGACTTCTGTGAATGAATGAACTGCAAGTCCCAGCAGCCTTAGCAGCTGTCGGTTTGTAGTTTCCAATGAACTACCATGGCACCATGGAGCGCTGTGGTAGTTCATTGAAGCTTCCTGGCAGAATATCTGCTTGCTTGTATATCCTCTACGGCAATCAGCTATTCTGACAGGTCTGCAGAAAACCTGAAAGGCATCAGCGATCTACTGATCTCTGGTGCAATACTTTCCAGGCTTCTATAGACAAAAATTATAAATGCACATTTTTTTGCCTGCAAAAAAATCTGCATTTATTATTTTTGTTTAAAAAGTGAACTTAGCCTTTAAAGTATAACTAAAGCAACATAGCCTTTAGTTTTGGTTAGAGTGGAGAGTATTATAATATCTGACTGTTTTTTTTATTGCTGTCTGTGTCCCCATTAGGAATATTCATCTTCTCTATTTGTTATGTTTACCATTATTACAGAGATTGAAAGAGCAAAATCCCAAAATTTTGAGTTGCCACCAGATTATGAATAAAGGATAAATCTTCCAATGGGTACACTAATTTTGGGCACCATATTGACTACCAGGGTTTCCCACATTTTGAAGGGATTTCACTTTCTGTTGTGGCCACGGGGCGTGAAGTAAAAGGGACTTTCCCTAAACTTTCATAATTATGCTAAAGAAGACATTTTTGAACATGCAGTTGGGAAAATGAAAAACCTGACAAAGCAACAAAAGAAAAAAAAATATATATGATTTTGTTATAAACTCACAGAATATAAACTAAGGTTTGGCATCTCTGGCAGTCACTATGACAAACAAGTTTTGATCTACAGTAGACATAAATTATTTACAGCACAGAAAAGAAACTGTTTAGGAATGACATACTACAGATGATTATGAAAAACTGCCCTAACGCACTGAGAAAAATCACAACTTAAAGTCAAATTCCAATTTCGTGGGAATAAAAAATGAAAACAAATAACTAATATAGCATATGCAACTGCTACACAAGTCATATTGTAATTGTTTGTTGTTAAAAATTACCCTTTCAATCTGCAGCACTGTATTTACTGTAAAATGCAATGTGACATGGAAACGTCGAGATGTTCTATACATAGATTGTATACGAAATGCCCCCCAGGAATGTCATTTCCTGCTTGTGTGATTGGCTTACTGATTTTCCCAGAAATCTGCACTAAGCTACAAGTCATATTTTGGAAATCTCCTGCAACAAAAATGTCATTTTTGGTGAGATACTTCCAAAGGCAAATCACATCTAAAAAGGGATTCAAACCCTGCCACTTTCCTCATTAGATCCCTGGAAGTGTAGCAGCTGATTAATAATTATAAAACCACTCCCATTCACTTTGCGCATGGAAACAGACAAACAAGCAGCTATTTTGTCAGAATAACAAAAGGTAGGAATCTGCAACAAAGTTTGTTAATATCCCTGCAATGTACATAGACCACCGAGAGGGTAATATGTTTAGTCAACAAAAGTGGAGTTGCTCTTTAGCTATACGTAGAAAGGTTAGTGAACCATTAGCAAAACTAATTACTCTGGCAGACCAATTATAATAGAGAAATATATTATTTTGCATAATTTCCTAAAAGGATCTGAAGGATCAGGACATAACTGTGCTTTGTGAATAATGTAAAGGTGGTTACAAAATGAAAACTCCCTTATCTTACCAGTAGCAATTTTTTATACAAGTGGTAAAATGTTTGTAAAATTTAGAGTTTAGCAATAAAGTGTATCTATAGTCAGCCAAATTGTTATATGTGGATACAGTAAGATATGGGTAAAACCTCTGATTTTTTTTTTTTCTTCTGGTCGGTAAATATGAGATTACTGAAGCCAAAGTACTAGCATGACAGCCATTTTTAGGAATAAGTTAGTAACAACATCCTCCATAGGTCATTACAGGCTTCCTTCTATTTAAAGGATACATAAACCCCATCAATGAAAACCTCTTATTTGATCCCTTTTGGTCTGCAAATATTCAATTAATATGTTTTGCTATATCTGTTTAACAAGTGCAAAATATACCAGTTGATTTTGCCAGAAGTCCTGTGAGCTGACCACTTTCTGTGCTGTCTGCCTGTACACAATAAAGCTGGGCATAGAGTGATTGAAATTTGGCTGGTTCAGCAGGAACTGGACACATTTCAGTCCATCTATGGGCAGGCTAGTTGTACTGAAGTCGATCTATCGATCAACTTCAGTACAACCAGACTGTTTTTTTTTTTTTTCATATGATCACTACTGCCAGCTATAGACAGTAACAGTGGTCATTGTATTCTAATGGCGGGGAAACCTCCCACTGTCAGACTACAATAGCGCAACAGGAGTGGTTCCCTCACCCCATCAACACGGACTGCGTTGATGGAGGAATCAAATGATTTTCTTTCCTTCAATCCATGTTTGAAGGAAAGGAAATTGCATAATGTATGGCCAGCCTAAGGGGTTAAGGAGGCAGGGCTGACACCTCATGCTTAGGATTTCAGAGCTGTGATGTCATGTCAAGAGGAAGGTAGGAGCATACGTTATCAATAAACAAGCAGAAGGCGCCACCATCTAAGTGTATCAATTTAATTAAAAACAAGTAAAGGGAAGGGTTAAAATAAACTTACAAGGATGAGAGTAAATGGGCATATCATCAGTTCTTATTCGCTGGCAAGCCTCAGTGGACAGCAGGTGGATGGATGGATAAAATGTATCCTTAAAACAGCTCTGCAGGATAGGTGGAATGAAGCTGGACTCTGTCAGAATGCAGATTATGTCCATATGACAAGCTATAAGCCCTCCAGTTTTGACAAAGGAGCGATTGTGGGCTCCGAAACATGTTACCACCTATCACACTTTGACATCAATACATCCCAACGTCACTTCTGATTCAAGTCCTAGTGCTGGCTTGCGTTCCAGTGTGGCTATATTTGCTGCTTGAGGAATACACAGCCTGTCATATGGACTTAATCTGCATTCTGACAGAGTCCAGCTTTATTCCACCTATCCTGCAGAGCTGTATTAAGGATACATCTTATCCATCCAAACCACCTGCTGTCCACTGAGACTTGCTAGCGAATAAGGACTGATGATATGCCCTTTTACTCTCATTCTTGTGAGTGCATTTTAACCCTTCTCTTTACTTGTTTTTAATTAAATTGATACACTTAGATGGCGACACCTTCTTTGTATTGCTTTAGTGCACGGAGACAACCAATATCCTGTTAGAAGAGCTGTAGCCATTATAGAAGTGAATTAACACACCTGGATCTACCATACAGTGACTACGGCTTCTTGCTTGGGACCTAATCACTCTTTCTCCATTTGCGCTATAGAGTTTATGTTTTTGTACTTCTGAGTATACTTTATTAATGACCTATCAACAGTTATTTTCTTGCAGCATAATTATGGGGATGAAACAGATATGTTCATGTATTGCAGAGATGTACTAAATGTATATATATTTTTGCCTTTACATATTTCAGCTTGAAGCGTTTCTAATAAATCCAGCAGATGGCAGCAGTGCTTCACTGTACTCAGACTGGAAATGACTTTAGAGGTAAACTAGCATTATTTTTTGCAGTTAAAATGTATTTAAAGTCAAAATTTTTATTTGGACAGAGTGGGGAAGAATTAGAACCCATGTCAGGTTTAATGCTGTCCAGGACTCCATTAAAGAGATTTCCCATTCCTTTCTGCCCCTGGGACAACCCATTTCATTGGAGTTAAAATGACAATAAATGATATCCTTATTCCCCAAAAATAATCCATACACGTCCACTACTTTATGACCTGTAACCTATTTTTCATTAAATGATTTCATACTATGTTTCTCTGCTTCCTTGTAATGTCTTCTATGAACTCTGAACCTTTCCCACCCTCTACTTCTGTTTGTTTGGAACCAGCAGTGCACGTTAGTTGCAGTCATGTACATCGCTCTATGCACACTACAAATCCCATTGTCCATAGTCCATTTTGGGAGCGTGTAAGAGAGTTTCTTGCCACAGTGGGACCATAGAGAACAAACACAGCCACCCTTTAACAGGAAGTACATCATAGCAAAAAAAAAGAAAAGTAATTTGGAGGAGGCTGATAGCAAGTACTTTTTTGAGTTAGGAAGACATATTATTTTCAACCAGAGTTTAGTGTCACTTTAACTAGCTGCCGACCACAGATAGCCGAATGACGGCTGCACTGCGGCCGGCCAGTTCTGAGTGGACGTCATATGACGTCCTCCCAGAACGCGCTCTCCTGCGCGCCCCAGGGGGCGCGCACCCGGCAATCTCCGTGATCGCTGTGTCCTACAGACACAGCTGATCACGTGATGTGGTAAAAGGCCAATCACAGCGGCCTTTTACCACGTGATCAGCGGTGTCCAATGACACGCTGATCAGAGGGAAATGCAAGTGCCGGTTCTCGGCTACACTTTCCTCACGCTGTCAGATCGTGAGGAAAGTACTGCCGAGAACCGGCAGTTGTCACAGCGGGGATCGGCACCGATCATCAGGGCACTGATGATCAGTGCCCTGATGATCGGTGCCCAGCAGTGCCACCCGCAAGTTCCGCCCACCTGCGCCCAGCAGATCACCCACCTGTGCCCAGCAGTGCACCCACCTGTGCCCAGCAGTGCACCCACCTGTGCCACTCTGCAGTGTCACACACCTGTGCCCAGAAGTGCCACCTACCTGTGCCCAGAAGTGCCACCCACCTGTGCCCACCAGTGCCACCCACCTCTGCCCACCCACCAGTGCCGCCCACCAGTGCCAACCACCAGTGCAGCCCAGCAGTGCTGCCAGTCAGTGCCCAGGGGTTGTGCCAGTCAGTGCCGCCAATCAGTGCCCAGCAGTGATGCCAGTCAGTGCCATCTATCAATACCCATCATCAGCGTCACCTATCAGTGCCGCCTATCAGTGCTGCATATTAGTGCCGCCTATCCGTGACACCTCATTAGTGCTGTCTATCAGTGCCGCCTATCCGTGCCACCTCATTAGTACTGCCTATCAGTGCCCTTTAGTGCCGCCTATCAGTGCCCATCAGTGCTGCCTCATCAGCGCACATCAGTGAAGGAGAAAAAATACCTGTTTGAAAAATTTTATAATAGAAACAAAGAAACTTTTTTTTTTTTTTCAAATTTTTTGCACTTTTTTTATTTATAGCGCAAAAAGTAAAGCGCCCAGTGGCGATTAAATACCACCAAAAGAAAGCTCTATTTGTTAAAAAAAATGATCAAAATTTCATATGGGTACAATGTTGCATGACCGCGCAATTGTCAATCAAAGTGCGGCAGCGCTGAAAGCTGAAAATTGGCCTGGTAAATAAGGGGGTATAAGTGCCTGGTAGACAAGTGGTTAATCACCTCCCACCCACCATATAGTACAATGACAGGCGCAAGGCGTTTCTCTCGTTCTGGGAGGACGTCATATGACGTCTTCCCATTCTCACCGCACATGTGCGGCTCAGGGAGCGTGCGGCGATCGGTAGTGTGCTGTGTCCCTCGGACATAGCGGATCACCGATCAACAGAAAGAGACAAAGATGTCAGCTCGGTCATGTGATCAGCTGTGTCCAATCACAGATGATCACATGTAAACAGGGAAATGCCGGTTATCAGCATTTTTCTCCTCACGAGCTGTCACGCTGACAGCTCGTGAGGAGAGAAGAGGAGAGCCGGTAATCGGCATTCCTTGGACGGGACATGTACACAGATCATCAGAGCACTAATGATTAGTGTGCCCTGATGCTCTGTGTAGCCCCCGCAGTGCCACCTGTCAGTGTCCATCAGTGCCAGCTGTCAGTGCTCATCCATGCCACTTTCCAGTGCCCATCAGTGCCACCTATCAATGCCAGTCAGTGCCGCCTATCAGTGTGCATCAGTGCCGCCTATCAGCTCCCATCAGTGCTGCCTATCAGTGCCAGTTAGTGCCACCTAACAGTGCCAGTCAGTGCCGCCTATCAGTGCTATATATGAGTGCTGCCTTTCAGTGCCCATCAGTGATGCCTGTCAATGCCCATCAGTGCCACCTACCAGTGCCTCCTCATCAGTGCCACCTATCAGTGTCCATCAGTGCAGCCTATCAGTGCCCATCACTACAGCCTCATTAGCACACATCAGTCAAGGAGAAAAATCCCTTATTTACAAAATTTATAACAAAAACGAAGAAAAAAACTTTTTTTTTCCAAAGTTTTCAGTGGTTTTTGGTTTAAGAAAAAAAAAAAACCCCAGAGGTGATTAAATACCTCCAAAATAAAGCTGTCACAAAAAAATTATAAAAATTTCATATGGGTACAGTGTTGCATAACCATACAATTGTCATTCAAAGTGTGACAGCGCTGAAAGCTGGAAATTGGCCTGGGCAGGAAGGGGGTATAAGTGTCCTGTAGGCAAGTGGTTAAAGTGACAGTAAACGATATCCTTTTTTCTACAAAAATAAACCATAAACATCAACTTCTTAAAGCAGTAGTAAACCACCCGCAAAAAATCTTCAATAAAGGGCCCCCTGCAGTGTTAGATCATACTAGTATGACATTATGACCGACTTAGCTGTACAGGGAGCTGCCCTCCAGCACCGAACTATCACAACTCCCTGGAACCATCTTTACCCGTTCTCCCTTCCAGGTTCACGGGCTCTGGCAGTATGAATGCCACTCCCACGCATGCGCACTGGAGCCCTTGGCTGTGCCATCCCTTCAGAGCACATGCACTGTTGACATCACCGGATGCATGCTGTGTGAATATCTCCTAAACTTTGCACGTTTAGAAGATATTCACTGTACCTACAGGTAAGCCTTAATATAGGCTTACCTGTTGGTACAACTTAAAAAGTGGACTTACTTCCACTTTAATGGCCTGTAATGTCTATTTTCATGAAATTATTTCTTACTGTGTTTTTTCTGCCTCCATGTAATGTCCTCCATGAGCTCCTGAACCTTTCCTTGTCCTACTTACTTCTGTTTGTTTGGAGTAAGCAGTGCACATTAGTTGTGGTCATATTCACTGCTTTAACCACTTTAAGTCCGGACACTTTTACCCCCTTCCTGTTCAGGCCAATTTTCAGCTTTCAGTGCCATCACACTTTGAATGACAATTGCGCGGTCATGCGACACTGTACCCATATGAATTTTTTAGCATCTTTTTGAGACAGATAAAGCTTTATTTTGGTGGTATTTATTCACCAATGGGATTTTTTTTTTTTTTGCTATATAAATGAAAAAGTCCAAAAAATGTTTTAAAAAAGTGTTTTTCTTATAACATTTTGCAAATAAATAATATTTCATCATAAATATTGGCCAAAATGTATTGAGTTATCCTTCTAGTACAAAAAAAATAACCCAAATTAGTTTATACCAAAAATATATATCCCAGCGCCAAAAAAAGGAAGAAAAAACTATATGATTATGCAGCTGTGCACCAGTGAAAAACACCAATAATAAACAACACAAAAACAGCGCAAAATCTAAAATTAAAATAACACAAATAAATAAACCCTAAATTAATAATAAGTGCCCGTGAAAAAAAAAAATATATATATAAGTCCTTATTCCCATCAAAACCAATCAAAAAAATTAAAAATATTCCAAATGTGCTTCCACCTATCCACCACGTGAGAAGTAATGTTGACCGCACTCACCAGATGGAAGTGAGTAGTGAGCCTTATAGGATATAAGGGATCCTATAACCCCTCCAAAGGAACTCAAATCTCCTTCTTCACCCTGCTATGGTATAGCAATCGTCTCCACTCTATTTCTCCATGGATTCCTCAATAGTGTGCAGAGAAAAAAACTACATAGTGTAATACTGCCACTCCATATAAAATATAAAGATAGAATAAGGCCACTCACATGTTTAAATAAAATTAAAAGGCCTTGTTTAATAGCCTCAATGGTGTCAAGATAACAAATTTTCAGAATGTAGATATAGGGATCTCACGCTTTTATAGTCACTGCAGAGGATGAACAGCCTTCCCCCTCCAAGATGGCCGCTTGAACCGCATAAGCCGGCGTGCGTTCCAAACACCGGAAGTGACGTTAACCAGAATGACGGCTGACCGGAAGTGCGTCAACGCGTTTCGCCCCACCCACAGGGTGTTCTCAAGACACCGCCTTCAGTCTCCAGCCGACATTTATACAGCTCAGGGAGAGCTCACATCCATCTCCTATGCAAATATCTATATGTACCTCCCACTGTCACCCCTGGTGAATAAACCCTTCACATCGCTGCTGCTAGTACCCGCCCACTACCCTTACCTCATCCTCTGAACTAAACGTGAGATTCCTTCACATGTTGAACGTTTAGATTTAACCAAGGATTTTAGGAATCTTAAAAATGTATTAGAAAAGCAAGTAAGGGTCTGGTGGGATATCCTTACTCTTGAAAAATATATTAAGGAGGGTATCACCCCCAGAAAATTAAGGTGGGATTTGGGTCCAAATGATGGACTGATTGGGAAAGAATTGGATGATGAATGGTTTTCTTTTTTTTAGTCATGTGGAAAAAAAAAATTAATGGAACTCATAGTGCAGAGAAGGAAAAAGAAATTAAGAAGTTTGGAAGAAAGGATTCAAAATTTGAAAGATAAAATGGAACCATTTAGTGAATCCAATGAATTTAAAACAGAAAGTGAAGCAAGTCCAGGATCATATTAAAAAGGTAGATGAGGACACCCAAAATAAAAAAAATTAAAAAGTATTGTAGGGATATGCAAGATTTTAAATCCAATAATGTATACAAATGGCAAGAGGATGGCACCGGGGCTAATAGTGACTCAAGAAACTCCTCCGTTGAGGAGGTGGTTGATAAGAAAAAATCGTCTCTTAAAACATCTCTCACTACAACTAATTTGAAGGGTAATCCATCTAGCAGTATTGCTAATTCATCTCCTAAAAATAACTATAAATACATCTGGTTATAATGTACCTATAAAAAATCGTTTTGAACCTCTGAATAATTGGGAGATGGCATCCCCCAGGGGATATAGTTATAATACAGGGAGAGACAATTTTTCAAGGGGAGGTTATGCAGGACCCCCATGGAGAGAGGGAGGTTCAAGAGGTTCTTACCATATGAGAGGGAGAGGGGGACCTTATTACCACCCCGGGAGGGGAAGAGGAGGGTGGGGGCCACCCAGGATGGATCAGTACCCTTATTGGGGAGGAGGTGAAGGAGGGGTTGTAGAGGAGGGCAAGGGAAAAAGGTTGACTTAAATCAAGGAATTTTCAATTTAAGTGATTAGGTTTTAACTGAAGAATTGAAAGTGCTCTCTTTGGGTTTAAAATTTGCACCAGATAAAGATCTTTATAAATTGGATGCATATATAGATTTACAGAAATATATTAGAAAGATTAATCTAAAAAAATATTGGAGTAAGAAACAAATTGTTAATAATGATGTTGGATCAGAGAAGGGGGTTGTTGGTGATAACCTAAGGTTATACTCCATTAGGAATATGCAAAAGGATACGACAGGTCCTTATTTGCATACTAAGTTAAGGAACAAATCGGTCTTTAACCCTAAAATAGCAAATAATTATTGTGTGGAAACTTTCAAAAAAATGGTAGAGCATGATTTGGAGCATTTGTCTATCCCCAATCTAAGAACTAAACAGGATTTAATTCAAGGAATTCGGAAGTTAGAAAAGAATAAAAATATTGTAATTAGATCAGCAGATAAGGAAGGTGGTGTAGTGGTGTTAAATAAATCAGATTATTATATAGAGTTGAATAGATTGGTGGATGATGTCAACACATGAATTATTGAAAAATAATCCTACGAGAAAATTTAGATCAAAATGAATTAAACTGGTGAAAGAAGGAGAAAAACTGGGAATATTGAATAGTAAGGAGACAAAATATCTAGTGCCTAAGGCTCCTAAAGTACCAGTGATTTACCAATTACCTAAAATTCATAAAAATCTGGCAAAACCTCCAGGAAGACCGATCATAAATGGGATTGACTCACTGTTCTCTAGACTGGGAGAATATGTTAAGTTTCTGCAACCCTTGGTTTCTTCCTTTCCAGCTTACTTAAGAGATAGCGGGGATTTGATCAACCTACTCAAAGATATAAATGAAAGTGAATATTGTGTCATGGCCAGTGTAGACGTAAATTCATTATATACTAATATAAAACATCATGATGCCCTACTAGCAGTCAAATGGGCATTGAAAATTAAGTCAGGAGTTTTGACCAAATAGAATTCATTGTAAAATGTCTAGATCTGGCTATGACACATAATTTTTTCTGGCACTCTAAGAAGTTTTATAAACAAATTATGGGTGTAGCTATGGGTGCTAAGTATGCACCGTCAGTAGCTAATTTATTTATGAGTAGGTGGGAAGGCAAGGCTATTTTCGAAGGTAGTAAGAAAGAATTGCTATTATATAGAAGGTTCATAGATGACATCATCATTGTATGGAAAGGAGAGAGAGAAGGACTTGTTGATTTTATTAATAAAATGGGGAATAATGATGTTAACTTATCGTTCACCTATCACATGAGTGAAACAGCCATTGATTTTTTGGACCTGACGGTGTACAAGCAAGGAAATAGATTTTTTACTAAGACCCATTTTAAAGATGTTGACAGGAATGGGTACATTCCTAACCATAGCTGTCACCACAGGAATT